TTACACATTTTGACGAAAAACACATTATGATGATGACGCTACAATACAATTAATACGCGCCAACTTTAAATCAAAGAACAGATGCACTTTGCATGGCTAAATAACAGTTAAGCCTATAAAGCTTAGTTCCGAACGATATCGATGTGATGACCGCATTTAAGCATTTATAATATCAATGCGAGCCACCTTAGTTTGGAAAATCCATAAAAATGATGAATGTGCAGGGAAAGAGTGTTTTGACCCTAAACTTTTTGCATCCAACACGTTGTGAGTTATTCAAGCTTTCGATACGAAGTATTTGTTAAGTATTAGCAGAAAGAGAATCTGAAATATCGTGCCTATTCAATTTGCACATAATCCCCGAATTTTCGCGGTTCAAATCGTATGTTATTGCCAAACAATGGTCGAATCACAAGTTCAGCGGACACACGCATCTGATCGGTGCGCAATTTCGATTTCACTTTCAAATTCCGCATCAGCAATGCCAGAATGCACTTTTCTTCCATAAGTGCGAATCGCTGTCCTGTAAAAGAGATCTGTCACCTTATCTCGAATGTATAAGCGATTCAACAAATTTTAAATTCATTTTACTCTCTTATTATGCTCGCAATTTTAAAGCATCTTTCCATTCCACAATTATAAATTTTTCATTTCATTATCGATTAAATTCTCCCCTTCAAAAAGAACACCACAGACCACCTTTTCTTGATATTATCTGTTTCAACCCAATTCTTAGAAATTTGTTCTGGAAATCTGATACCGATGCAATTCCTGGGTCCAGCAGAAAAAGGAATGTACGCAAACGGATGTCTGGGCTCATTGTGTAAGAATCGTTCAGGCTTGAATACTTCTGGATCTGGCCAATGTCGTGGATCTCTATGTACCATTGATGCAATAATTACAACACTCACACCGCTTGGTAGCACTTTATCTCCTGAAATTGCAGATTTCGTCAGCAATGGTTCCAAATGAAAGAGATTTTTAAGTCAGGAATTTTAATCTGAGCATTAAAATAAATGTATTTATCTATGAAAAAGCTAAATTTGTTGTGCTTAAATATCGCGTATGTTTTGTATTATTTTTAATATTGTAACACACAAACATTTGATGAAATTGAACAAATGTGTTTTTTCACAGATTGTCTTTTAAATTGAACAAATATGAATTGAATTCTCGAATGTTGAAAAAGTCATACCAATTTTCGTATCCTCAGACAACAGTCGCGCTTGCATTGGTACACTGGGAAATAATCGCAGAGTTTCTTTGATGCAAGCCTCAAGGAATTTTAGTTGCCCGATGTCTTCATATCTTACAGGTCTATCTTCTGAAAAATCTTGATGCAATTAATATCTCGCTTTACAAATATACATAGATATTCAAACTTAAGTTAACATACCTTCTCCTAACACTTCGTCAACCTCCTTTTGGACTTTTGCTTGAATTTCTGGATTGGTACCCATCAA